CAGGACAGGACAGCACAGCACAGCACAGGACAGGACAGGACAGCACAGCACAGGACAGGACAGGACAGCACAGCACAGCACAGCACAGCACAGCACAGCACAGGACAGGACAGGACAGCACAGCACAGCACAGCACAGCACAGCACAGCACAGCACAGCACAGCACAGCCTTATTCAGTCCCATCCCAATACAACACAATCTAGCATAGGGCAGTGGCTCCAGGAGTTCAGCCCTGACTCAGCCCAGCTCATCACAGCCAAACTCTAGGCCAGCCCAGTTACAGAGAGAGCGCATTCCAGTGCCTGAGCCCATCTCCCATGGCACACACCCCGTCCCTCATGGCACACACCCCGTCCCTCATGGCACACACCCCGTAAGACAGCCCCACCAATGAACATCAGAAGGGTCTGGATCAGTGCCTCAGAGGCTGTCCTGCTGAAAAGGCTGCACCCCACATCTCTGCCTGCAAATGCAGGTCACACCCTGAATACAAATGCGGCTCCACAGGTCAGGACCTGCCTGGGCTTCACTCAGCAGCTGCTAATTGGCAGTAAGTGGCAGCCTGAAGCCTCCCTGCCCACTCCCCCCCAGCTCGAGGCTGCCCTGTGGGGTCAGAGCCTGCAGCTGGCGGGCTGCCCTCTCCCCTTCACCTGCCCTGGCAGAGAGCTGCCCGGCTGGTGGGAGTGCCGAGCTGAAAGCAGGAGGCCTGACCTTGGCCCTGCTGCCGAGAGCTGTGCGGCTTTAGGTGGCTCTGGGCCTCGCTGGACGACTGTAAGGATAGTGGGGGGCCAGCGTGAGCTGGGAGGAGGGAATGACTCTTGGGATCCTGGTCACCCCCTCTACCAGCCAAGGACAGCTCTCTTCCTCTGACCAGATGTCCTGTCTGGAGGGCCCTCAGGACATTTGTGGGTCTGGGTGTGGCCCCTGAGGCGGGCACAGGGCTCTGTGGGGGAGACCCTACCCCTTTGTGCCAGGCTCAAGGGGGGACTTGCTGTTGGCAAGCACAGATGGCCAAGCTCTGATAGTGTCCCTTCGTTGGAAATGGGGTTCTTCCTTGGGGTGACCCTGCTCTCCCCACCCAGAGGCAGGTCAGGAAACCCCTCTCCCAACACCTACCCTCCTTCCGGCACAGAAACCCCCTGAGCTGTTCCCAGGCCCCCTCACCATCCCTACATCTGATGCCCTTGACATGAGGGTCTCCCAAGTGCCAAATGGTTGATTACATGGGTTTTCATGCCCGGCTGCCTCCCTCCTCCCCTCTCCTTCCTTCTGCCTCTGAGCACCACCTGTCTCTCCAGCCTGCCTCCAAGCCCTGCTTGCCTGTTGCCGGGGAAACCGCCTCCTTGGCAACCAGCCGGCATCCATATGACATGTACACGCGGAAGGAGGTTCCTGCCTCTTGCTCAGGCTGGCAGCGGGCCCTGTTCTGGCAGCCCCGACATGAGACCCTGAGCCCAGCAGGCTCTGAGGGAGGGTCCCCGCTGTGCCCACAGAGAAGAAGGGGCTCCCACCTCCCTTGATCGCTCAGCAGCTGCTTGTTCAGATCGCACTGTTCACAGACCCTGTGCTGGGGGCTTTAGGTGCAGGATCTCATTTAAACCTGCATTAAAACTGCAGAGTAGATTGGCTGTTCCCATTTACCAGATGAGGAAACTGAGCCCAGCTGCCAGCTGCAGAGGTAGGAGTTAGATGAACGCAGGATTGTCTAACTGACTTGCTCCTTTCCACCACCTGGTGGGCTCTGACCAAGTCCAGTGGCCACACATATTACAGAGCAGCCCCTCCCTGTGACCCATTTGGGGTTGGACCTTTGTACTAAGCACAGCCCAGGGTGCAGGGACCCCGACAAAGGCCAGCACAGCCCCAGCCTCTGAGCTCCTCTTTGTAGAGGAAGGCAATACATAGCAACAACCGCCACATCTCCTGTCAGGGGGCCTGGAGCCCGGAACCTCCATCACTGTGCCCCACTGTGGCTTCTCCACCTGCTCAGGGGTCCCTGGAGAAGACTGTGGGAGCACCATGGTCGGAGAGTGGACGATGGTCAGAGCCCAAGTGTCGTGGGATCGCTGGTGACAGTGGGTGAAAGAAAGTGACAAGAGTGGGGAGGTTGGCTTGCTGAGAGTTCAGGGCTGGAGTCTCACTGGGCGGGCGGCATGACTCCTGAAGGTACCAGACCCTGGGGGCACGAGTCAGATTACCTGGGAGCCTGCAGAGGTTCAGAGGCTGCGGATGGCGGGGTAGGGTCTCCACAGGGGCAGGAGCTTTGAACAGGGAAATGGGGGGACACAGAAGGGCATCCTGTCTGAGTAGTTGGGGGGCAGGTATTTTGACTAGGCTCTTAAGGGAATGGACTGGGGACGGAAAGGGATGGTGGGTGCAGGTGGACCTGAGACCTCCTCTTGTTGGCTGGTAGAAGCCTAGATAGAGGCCAGTGAGGCTGAGCCAGGGACTGTGGCGAGGGGAAGGTGGCACTGTGCCCACAGGTTGGCCAGGTGGTGTACTTGGCCGAGCAGGACACTGTCAGCCTGCAGTTTGTGGGCTCTGCCGGCCCTGGCCGTCTGTGGATGGTCAGTAACAGTGTCAGGACTGGCGCGGTCCAGAGCAAACCCCTCTGGTCCCATTCTGTCTCCTTCAGGCCCTGCAGCACCACGAGACCGAGGTCTACGCCTTCATCGAGAACGAGACCAGCAGTGACCCCCGCTCGGGGAGCCCTCTGTCCCAGGTATGGCAGGAGGGCGCTAAATCCAAGCCCGGCTGCTCCACCGATCCCGCAGACCCTTGGTCTCTCCAGCTGGGAGATGGGAGGTTAAGAGGGTCATGAGGGCATCTCATCTCTTATTTGGGGAATCCCTCCTGGAAGGCAACGGGGCCAGCAGCTAGACGCACAGGCAGCTGCATTGGCAGGCTGGAATCTGCTTCACCACTTCCCGGCTGGGCAGCCCTGTACCTCACTGGTAAACTGAAGACCCAACTCGTGCCATCCTGCCTGTGTTAACCACAAGGATGGGCTGACGTGTTGAGAAGGAGCCTGGGACCCACTGCTCTTGTTGTTGTTGTTGTTGTTGTTGTCTGCCTGCTCGAGTCATCCACGGCTCGGCAACAACTCTGAGCAACAGTTCTGACACTCCCCTCCCCGCACCACACTCATGGCCAAGGGCACACTCAAGTCCATTGTTGTAGACACTTGGTAAATCCAGCTTATTGAGAATCTTCCTCTCTCGCTGGCCCTCTGCCTTGTTCAGTCCTGAATTAAGATACTTCTGATTAAAGAACAGCCATTTGTGGCAAAATATTGGACCCCACCAAGTGCAAAGCTTCCTTGTTAAGTAGAAGATTCCTTGTTAAGTAGTGGATGAGCTGCTGGCCAGGCCCACCACAAGGGCTGGCGGGGAGCGAGGGGTCTACATGTGGCCTCCCTTGACCCATGAGACCACTGTTTGTAGAGTCTCCGCTTCTATAAGCCGAAAGTAGGATTGCCATGTCCTGGGACATCAGGGGTGTCTGGGCCATTTTGGGTGGGGTCCACCCTTATGACAGGCCAGGCCTGCTGGCCAGGAAGGACAGACACGCCCCTGCCCTTCTGGACCCCCACAGCTCCTAGGCGTCCACTGTCTGGGAGAGGGATGAGTCCAAGGCAGGGTTTACGAGAGCTGAGAGGATGCTGAACCCGCAGGGTGAGGAGGGGGCAGCCAGGGAACGGGAGGGAGGGGCTTTCAGGAAGAGGGATTGCATATGGGCTAACCCTGAGGCAGGTGTGGGGACCCTGCACGGTTGGGGATAGAGCGCAGAGGCCAGGGGTGAGGACGGGATGGTGGGAGAGGCAGCAGGCCAGGGACGAGGCTTGAAGATCTGGACAAGCCTCCCTGGGAAGCGCCAGTGAGACGATCTGGTGGCCTAATGCTAAGTACCTGCACTGCAACCCAAAAGCATGGGGTTCAAGTCCACCAGCTGTTCTGTGGCAGAAGGATGGGCAGTCTCCTCCCGTGCAATTGATCATCCCTGAAACCCGCTGCAGGGTCAGCCTTGGGCCAGGTCCGACTCGATGGCACCCAACAACGTAAACTGTTGGATTCACGTGAGCGTCACTGTCCTTGTGGCTGGTAGTTTTGTGTTTCTTTCCTTCCGCAGGAGGGAGCACACACATCTGAAGATGACGGGGAGTTTGGCCTGGTCTACGAAAATCTCTAGGAAGAGGTTGGACCTGGCTCAGAGAAGCTGGGCAGTCCCTGCCTGCCCAAGACTGGATCTGCCACAGCAGAAAGACGCCAGGGGGGACCAGCAACTCTCCCCACGTCCAGGGCCCTTCCTGCCTTGGCCTGCCCCCTCCCCCAGCTGCTCTCTGGACACCCCCTCATGTTCTGTGACTTCATGTCTTTGCCCAGGTGGCTCTCTCTGCTAGGCAGGCCCATCCTCCTGGGTGAATTCCCTCCAGGCACCAAGGGCCTGTCAGGATGCCACTCGGTCCTCAGCCCTTGTCACCTCTCACGCCCCACAGAGCACCTCTTGTTGGGTGTGCCCCACCCACAAGGCAGACTGGAGCCCCCCAGACACCCTGTGGTCGGTGCTGCGACCAAGCGTGGAGGAGGGGTGAATAAACCATTGACTGCAGATGACCCCATCTCCCTCTCTGACCCAGACCTGGCCTTGACAGGTGTGAACAGGAGACTGGCATGGGAAGCCATGGGGACCAGGCGTCAGGAAGAATGCAGAAACCGGCCAGCAGGGGACAGAGTTTGGGATGAGGGGGTGTAAGGGCTGGTGGTTGGACTGGGGGCCTGGAGCAGGGACAGTCTGATGTATTATTTCCTAAGCCTACTGTGACATGGGAACCAGTTGTAAAACAGGTTTGGAGGCAGGAGAGGCATCCACTTCCTAAACCACATGCCTCTGGAAAGTTTATGAACTTGGAGAAATGATGATAGTTACGGAGTCGCTACGAATCGTGCCCGACTCGACGGCAGTCAACAACAACACCTGTGACACAGTATCACCGAGCGGGTGGCTATGAGCAGCAGGAGTGTGCTATCTCGCCCTTCTGAGTCCCGCTCCCGGGGTGTCAGAGGGCCACACTCTGAGGACTCCATCAAGCAGGTCCCAGTGGCCCCTGGTTCCTCGGCAGGTCCACACTGACTCCCCGGGGCCTCTCCACGTCTGTCCTCCTCTCATAAGGACATCATTCATGGGAAGTTAGAACCCACCCTGGCCCTGCGGGGACTTCATTTGAACCTGACTGATAACCTGCACAGACCCTGTTTCCATACAAAGTCACCTTCACATTCTCATTGTTGTTTCAGAACTGACTCAGAGCTGACCCGCCGGTGGGTTTTCGGAAACTTAACGTTCCCCAAATATCACACAGGTTACCTGTCTTTCTCCCGTGGAGCCGCTGGTGGATAGAAGCCAGCAGAGAGGCATCACCTTTGGGTGGTGCTGGTGGTGGTTGTTTTATATACTTTCAAGCTGGGACTAACTCATAGCTCACCCTCTAGAGAGTTTTCGAGACAGTAAATTGCACAAGAAGCGATTGCCCATCGTTCCTCTGCAGACCAGCTGGTGGGTTCGAACCGCATGCCTTTGGGTGAGCAGCACAGTTCCCTGCAGACTAGGCCACCAGAGCGTCCCGTTCCACCTGAGCTCCTGCGCCATCCGTCAGACTCCCTTCACAGCCACCAGAATTCAGCAAATTCATTGGGAGGGCACAGTTCAATCCATTATACTTGGGTGCCGTTTAGGGGGGAAGGACTAAGTAAATGGGGACTGAAGAGCTGGAGGGGTTCCCCTCCCTGAACAAGGACCCCACGTGGTCAGACATCAACCTGCCCCTTTGCCCGCCCTGGGGTGCTGACTGTCCTAACTCCCTTCAGAACTCTTGCGCTCAGGGGACTGCTCGTCCTACCAACCCAGCTCAGCCCCCAGGCATCCTGCCACCCCCAACCCCACAGCTGGCCATCCTGACTCACCCCCACCCCCAACATGCCCTGTGCAGACCGGCCCCTCACCTACTGGTCTGTCATGGTCCCAGCTGCCTGAGGCCACCTCCTTCATCACCATCAAGCTACATATACAGTGGGGCTCTGGGCCAGCCCCTGTGGACAGAGTGTCCACCTCTGCTGAAGAGACCAGAGAAAGGGGTGCCTTGGTTACAGGCGTAAGTCATTTCCGTTTCCCCGAGCACTTAGATGATATTTCACCACAAAGAGGCTGATGTAATGGGGCCCCATGTCCCAAGTGTAAGGGGAACTCAAATCACAGAATATTAAGGGAACCCACACCACAGGACTTTGGAGTTCCTGGCATATGTTGTTATTATTGTGTGCCATCAAGTTGGAACCAAACCATAGCTGGCTCTTCAGTCGGTTTTCAGAGGCAAGTAAATCACAGGGGAGGAGATTGCCCACCTTTTTCCCATGGAGCAGCTGGTGGATTCCAACAGCATGCCTTTGGGATTGCAGTGCAGCTTCTAATTACAATATCAATTAACAAAGGTCCTCATCATAGGACCAACAGTCATCATCATGATAGATGGAGAAAGGATTAAAGCTGTGCATGATTTCATCTTCCGTGGATCCACAATCAACACCCTTGGTACCAGCAGTCAGGAAATCAGGAGACACGGGGTCACTATGAGTCGTAAGCTACTCGATGGCACATAATAACAGCAACAGCATTCTGGCACAAGCTGCTAAGTGCTCGGTCACTTATCAAAAGATTGTCATTTCAAACTCCTCCAGAGGAATCTCTGAAGAAAGGCCTGGCTTCTTAGGAGCCTTGAAAATGCTGCGGGGTCCAGTGTGTCCCATACACAAGGGGCCACTGTGAGCTGGAATTCACTGACCAGCCATGTGTGGTTGGCCCTGGGACTTCAGGGGTTCAGCCTCTTGCTCTCTCCCCTACTCCTGCACCCGCACCCCAGCACTGGCTCAGGAAAACCCTCTGAGTGGTGGAACGGGGAGAGGGTGTGGGAAGCAGCAGGCTCTTGGCAGAGTCTCCAGGGGAACCCATGCTGGCTGCAGGTGAACATCGGTGGACTGGGACGCCCTTTCCAGCCACTGTCACACCCCCAGCATGGTGGTCTTGTCCAGAAAGGAGGTACGAGTTCCTGGCTAACCTGAAATCCACTCACAGCCAATATCAGGCCCCCCCCTTTTTTTTTTGAGACAGTCTAATCTAAAGGCCATGCTCATCGTAAAGATGCCACTGAGATTTCAGGGATGGAGTTTTATGTAGTTCAATAGTTTTCTTGGCAGACAGCTTGGCTAGGAGAAGTGCGCTGCAGCCTCTGCCCAGCTGGGCTGGCTGAGGGCGTCTCTCTGTCCCTCCAGTGTGCCAGGGGGTGTCACCAGCCCACCTGAAGGGCTTCCTCCACCTGAGTCTGGACTCTTTAAGAAGTGGGTCAGCCATACAAGGGACACTTAGCTCGGCACCTTCTCTAACCTGCAATCACAATGTGACCCTGAGCTTTGGCTGTGTGGTCAGACCTGCCCGCTGCCCTGCCCACACCCACACCTACATGCCTCTGCCTCCTAGTTCACTACCACAGGCTTCTGGGCATCTAAGCAGACAACCACACCCTATGCCCTGGAGTCCATCCTGACAGAGGACAGCGGCCCCCTAGGTTCCCAAGGTGCAACCGTAAACATACGGCTTTGTCTTTCTCCTGTGGAGCGGCTGGTGGGTTCAAACCACCAACCTTTAGGGTGCAGCCAAGGGCTCTAACCAGCACAACTCTTTCTCCGTCACAGAGGCAGGCATGCAGTATGGTGAAACATTGTAACTACAGCAAAATAAAGCCGGGGCCATCCTTCGCTGTGCTTGTTTTTGCTCTTCCATCTTCTTTATGCTGCTTTTTAAAAATTTTCACTATGGTGCCCTGTGCGTGACAAGATATTCAAACATTTTTACGGTTACGGTTCAGGGGCATCGATACTGAGCAAAAATCACCACTATCTGTTTTCACATTTTTTTGTCCCTTTAACAAAAATGTTGCACCCGGAAATGAAACACCTACTGCCTTGGGGCGGATTCTGGTCCACCACGAGCTGTTTCATCCCAGGACAGAGCAGAACCTCCGCACACAGTTTCGGGTCTGTAAGGAGCTGACCCGTCGCAGACAGAGCAGAACGTCCACATGCAATTTCCAGCTGAAACCTTCGTGGAAGGAAGCAGCACCTCACCATTCCTCATCAGAGCAGCTAGTGTGTTTGAACTGCCAACCTCTGGGATTGCACCACCATATCCCACAGGCACACCAGATCCCAGTTAAATCAGAGCCCTGCCTTTCTCCTTAGTTGCTGTCAGGCCAGTTTCGACTCTCACGTGAGCCACTGCGTGCAGCGTCACGCTGTTGTACACGGTGTTCAGAGCTGGGGCCTCTCGGTCCATCCCCCAGGCCTCTGTCCTCTGGGTAGATGTGAATCACCAGTCTCTTGGCTACAAGTCAGGCACGTACCCAAGTGTGCCCCGGTGGCCTTTCCTGATGTTTGTGATTGATCCCTTTTTTGGCCTCACCGGGAACATCCTCGTACATGCCCCCTGAACATATCTGCAGAACTTTCTCCATGGGAAGTGACACGGAGGAATGCTGGGTCACAGGATCTGGCACGTATAATTTTGAAGAGTAGCTCCTAGAACACCACAGGTGTAACACAGGTTACAGAGCTTTCTGGCCCCCTGGGCTCCCCATCCCCATCTCATTAGCGCTCCCCACAGCTCCGTGCTCCACAGGGCCAGGGGCTTGTGCCTCTTCCCCCAAACCAGAAGCCATACCACCCAGGAGGCCAGAGCTGGGCTGGCTGCCAATCCTGTGTCCTTCACTTCACAGGTCGGATGGGGGCTGGAGAGGCAGACAGAAAGATCTAGAAAACACCTCAGTGCTCTCCTGAACAGAGGAGGCCCACGATGGGGCCAGATTCCTTCGGAGACAAGTTGTCAGCTCTGTCTGCACTGGAGACTTTCTCAAAGCTGTGGAGGAAGGTGGGGTCTCCTGATCCCAGTTCTGCCACAGCCCACACCCTCGGGGTGGGGGTGGGGGGCTGGTTCCAGCTGATCTGGACATTTGGATCCTATTGGGAAAAATCCCACTGGAAAATCCCAGGCGTAGCAAGCGTGGCAGAGAGCTGTGTCTGGAAGCCTTAGCATGCAGGATAACACTGCTGTAATTGGCATTGTTCCATATTTACAATTCTCTCGGTACCTGAAGACCTACGTTGCAGATGGCTGGCTATATCTGGAGTGGGTCTGCCTTTACCACTTGGTGGATCTCAATCGGCGGAGGAAGGCTGGCTTTGCTTTTGTAGCCTCCAGCCCACCACACCCCGATTTCCAAAGAGCCCCGCATCTGCCTGCGTATGTGTGCGAAAGCTGGGCCGGGAGGGAGAGAGACCAAAGAGGAACCAATGCCTCTGGATGACGGTGTTGACGTAGAATATGCAATATGCCACAGACTACCAGGAGAACAAGGACATCTGTCTAGACAATCAGCCAGAATAGTCCTTAGAAGTAAAGATGGTGAGATCTCATCTTGCAGATTCGCAGAAGGGACCACCAGTCCCAGGAGGACACCATCCTTGGTAAAGCAGAAGGTTCGT